AAGTGCAAAATTGTCTTGTCCTTGCCTTACTAATGAAAACACTGAAGAACCAGTGTTGACAAAGGCATCTTTTACTGCCGAAAGCGTTTGCCATGGCGTACCAAATATGAAGACTTAATTTGCGAGCACTTAAATAGGTGGGCATGGTCTTGAAACCATTTAACAACTTTAGGACCGAAATTCCATGGTGGAGAGTACAGTTTTTATTTTTGTAATTCATCTGGCATAAATGCCCCCTGCAACCAAAACGTTGACGCCCTCGCACTTGCCGAATTTCAAAAAATAACTAAATATAGTCCCATCGATCTTTCTTAACATTCATACCCATTGCTTGCTCTACTCTTCAACCTCTTTTAATAGCCAAGCTCCATTTTTTTAGAGAATTAAGTAGACTATTAGCAAAAAGCCCAAAGAACTAAAATAATCTCTCTTATTGCAACAAAAGCTCGCTACAGCAATCGTTTGACTCTAACCACCTAAGCTTTGTATCTTCTATCAAATAATCTCCTATACTTTTTCTAATATTATCATATTCACTTCCCTAGATTATCTTTGTTAAAATTCCTTGATATCTTCTTAAACTTCTGCTATTTATTTTTTCCCCCCTTAAGCATATAAATAATTAAGGTCATGTTTATATATTAAAAAATAGTAAATAATATATTCACCTAAATAAATAAATAAAAAATGTCGGGGGAAAAAAATACTGGTCATCAAGAACAAAATACTTTTTTTTATATCTATATTATAATTCTCCGATGTCATCGCTATGTCACATATCATCGTGACTGTAAATAAAAAAAATTTTTATCAGGCGTGCGATTTTTGATTTTTTCTTAAATACTATAGAAAATAATTATCTCCATTTTAGATTTATTTTTAAAAATATTTTTATTAACATAGAAAGACTATTCTTCTTATAGTATCAAATATTTTACTCAGAGAGTTATATAAGTATAAAAAATTGGTAGGAAAGGAAGTAAAATAAAAAAGGAAACTGTCCATATTTATGTCATTTATTTTAAGAATAATGATGCCGGTTATTTTGGAGTATTTATTAAAATTGATATATTCAATAATACTAGATATTTTATGATTGTATGTAATAGGGGTAGACGGGGCCCCCTTCAGATATTTATCAATTTTTGTGAATATCATTTCAAGCTAATAAAAATATTAGTCCTCTCCCCACCCCCTGTCCCCCAAAAATGTATGCATTTCCCATAAACAATAATTCGAAGGAAAGAATGTAAAAGTTAATATATTTTTTAAACTAAAACTATTGATTACGATTTATACTTTATTGGAAAAAAAGCAATTTATATATAAAAAGTGAAACCAAAAATGTGTTTTTAGGAAATGAAATATAAGCCAAAGATAAGTCTTAAGACAAAAGTGAAATGTGATACAATTACTATAAATAGATCCATAAAATTACTAAATAATATAATATCTCAAATATTATTTTTTTATAAAGTGAGTAACTTTAACTTAAAGTATAATTATAAAATTATTGATAAAATTAAGTAAACATTAACTCATAAAATAAATAGCGGAATATTATGTGTCTTAGATTTACATTATATCTAATTTTATCTAATAACGTATGACAATCAAATAATTTTACCAATAGAAAATTATATACAGAAGACTATAGAATGTTGATAAGGACATCAGAAAATATCTTTAAGAATATGGGTATATATAAACTAAGAAAACCCGGCCGAAGACCGGGCAAAAGCGGGCCAGCCTGCCCAAATGGGGTCTGGGGGCGAAGCTCCCAGAAATTTTTAATTCCCCCCCCCCCTTAGCTTATTTTATAAGTACATGGAAGGTGATATCACGTGTAAATTATAATTAATTTTCTTTATAAATGTATGAAATTTTGTATTAAATTGTATGTTTTAATGTATAAAAATTTAATATAATATATTTATATTATTGATAGGAATAGTTTATAACTATTGGTGTACTGATAGAACATTTAAGACGCATTATTACTATTTTTTAGCTGATTCATATAAATAATTAGAAAAATTATATTTATAAAAAAAACACATTTGTATATATAATATAAATAAAAAAAAATTAAACCTGCTACAGATTATCTTTTTTTAGCCTTGTTCTTGTAAAATACAAAACAAAAATTAACCATTGTGAAAAAAAAAATAGTAATAAAATATCAGAAAATTAGAGGATTTTATATAAGTCTATAAGGACTTTTATAATGACGTTAAAATATTAATTCTAAAAGATTTTATTTAGTTTCTGGTATTTCTTTAATCTTTCGATGACCCAGGTTCTGTAATTGGAATTGAATAACAAATTAACATAAAAAGTACAACTTATGTACACATATTCTAACGTTATAAAAAAAATATAAACATTAACTAGAACTTCCTTAGAATATTTTGTGTACAAAATATCTACTATCATTTGAAGGACTGATACTGGTAGCAATAGAAACACAAATTGAAATGTTAAGATGATCAACGTTTTCTTGAGTTGTTTATTTTCGGATAACTTTTTGGAATGCCAACTATTAGGGGAATTTAAGCCAGAAGGTTCAATATTTAGTGATACACTATTTTTAGTCATTGTAGGCAGATTTTCGTACGATTGAATGATATATAAATATTATCAGCTACTTTTACACTTCTTTTGATAAGTATAATTTTGCATAAAATCATCATGGAAAATGGTAGTAACACAGCAAAAATTTCTCTGAAAACTTCGTAAGTTATCAAAAGATGCATATGGCTAGTGTCAGGTCCAAATTCTTGTAATCGGTAATAATAGACATAATCCTCTGTGTATAATTTTTTTCCCCGTTTACTAGCGTTGCATATAATTTTGCCTTATACAAAGTAAACCATTTGTAAGTAGGAAAATACCATATGATCGAGTATGTGAGACTCAAGAGCATAGCAATTTTGTCTTTTTTAATATTATCTAATAAGTTGTACTTGAATGGGAATACAACTACAATCAGTTGATTCGTGAAGAAGAGTACATAAATGAAGAAACCAAAATTTAACGATTTCGAAATGGGATATGATAATGCGCCAAATATATAATCCAACCTTAGAACCTCCAGATATGGTTTTCTGGATGTTCTCGTCCATAAATTTTGAGAAAGGGTGAAATGATCAGGCCCAAGACATTAATTAAATTCACCAAAAAAAACACTTTAACAAATATTCGTTAACATTAACAGTACGCTTCATCCCGATGGAAGAGAACGTACCACCATTTCCACACCTTGTATTTAGCAGCAACAAATTTTGAGGGTCTGAAGATGAGGTAATGGGCGAATTTTTCCTAAACCATTTTCTAGCTGATCGCTGCACAGTTTTAAATATCGTATTCTTTACACATTTAGTAAAAAGTTTGAGATTTGCGCACACATCATTGATCACAGATGGATTATATGTGAAAATTGCTCCGAATATATTCCCGATGACTCCCGAAATCAAAATAAATATTACAGCAAATTTTGATAAACCAGTTTATTTTGGAATTGTCAAGGATTTCTAGCGAGGAATATTCGGAACAAATTTGCTGTTCTTCCATAAATTGAGAGCAGTGGCCCCTACAACGGGGGGGGGGGGGAGTCGAAGCAACTGCTTGTAAATTTGAGTGGGGTTACTTTATATATAAAAAATTTTAATTTTGAGTGGGGGGATCTACAATTCCTAATATAGGTATATTCTAAACATGCTGGATTACATTTTCGGTAAAATTATATTTCTAAATTATAAAAAAAGCTCTCAAAAAATGATTTAAAGTTTAAAAAATAATACATTGGAAAAATCATATTGCCGCTAACATACATTATCCATCACCAGAGCTTTGATAAGTTATAGTTACTAGGTAAATTGTTTATAACATAGTGTTTCTACCTATATGCATATTTGTATATATATTTTATAGCGCCAATATTTTTCTTCCAATAAAATATTATTTTTATATTTAATATCAATTTACTCAGTGCATTTTTTAAAAAATTTTAAAAAAATCTGATTTTACTGGAAAATTCAGGGATTTGTAGTATACCTACCCTATTTCAAACAATTATACCATGTATCTTTGAGCAGTTTTTAATTAATAATGATAAAAAATCTACGGAAAAATTAGCATAAATTAAAAGGTAATTAAATTTTTCACCATTTTATGGATTGTAATGTTTAGGTTAGTAAGTATTCTACCCAATACTGGAATTAAATTGGCAAAGTTATTTTTTTTAAACCTAAAAATAAGGCGTTTAATTTGGTTTAAAGTTGAAAAAATAACACATTACAGGAAAAAGCACATTGAAATTAAAATAAATATTGCATATTACATATATAAAACTTGGTTAAATATTTTTATAAATCAACATATTTAAATATTTGATAAAAATAAATGGTGAATGTAAAGTTGCTAATTATCCAACCCATCAATAGCGTAAACCAGGAGTTTGAAAAAAAAAATCCTTGAAGATTTATTTAATAATTCTTGATTTCATTTTGAAAGAGTTACTTATAAAAGATTTTATCTTGACATTTTTAGGTAAAATTTGATTTAAAATCTCTGTTCTTCAAATATAATCATTAAGTAAATTTTGATTTTTTACTTTTAATTGGTATTAAAAAAAATAGGTAGATATTGGGAATAATATTAATATATACACACAATGAAAATGTTATAATTTTAGGTGGCCAACATATAAACTATAAAACAAACATCTTTAAAATAAAAATATATGGTTTTCTGTAAAAACAAATATTAATTAATTTACCATCATTTATATGTAACATCATATCATCTTAATCTTAAATATTAAATATAATTCTTCATTCGCTAGCCATTCATCATCATAAATAGAAGAATTACAACGGAAAAAAATAAATAAATAGAAGAATAAAAGCAGAAAAATAGAAAAAAAATATATATATATAAAATTTCAATGAGGAAAAAAAAAGGCATGTGATTTGAAATTTAACAAATCATTATCTTCCTTTTTTTTATTTAAATATAATAAGAAAGAATTTTTTTTTGATTTTATCTCATTCAAAGAATGAATTTATTAGATTCTTTAGATAAAATATGCCAAGGTATTCCAGTGGATCCACTTCCTCAGTTTAGACCGATAGATGATTCCGTAATCCATGCACCTTTTAAAAACAACGATCTGAACGAACAAGACAGAAAGGTAATAAAATAAAAATTTATTTTTAAAACAAACATTGTTGGTAACTTAGATTAACCTTAGAAAGCCTATTATGTTAAGGTTGAGTACTACCCCCAAAAAGAATTTTAAAATGTATAATTACTTTAAACTCTCTAGGTATTTCCTATTGTAGATTGTTTTTAATAGCTAATTTTTTGGTTTCTTGTGAGTTTAACTGTTATTATTTTTTTTGGAACTTAGAGCTGGGGGTATCCCTGCATGAGACACCAACCTTCAAATTATTTATCATAATTTTGAAAATGCTTTTATTTTGTATATCATTATTTATCGTTTGAAAATTCTATTATATGATTATTTGTACCTTGAAGTAACTAACTCAATATTTCATCCAGAAAAATAATAGGCAAGTCCGAGAATTTAAATCATAAATGGTGTAAAGGTTTGGACATCTATTAGCGAAAACTCGAAATTTTAGGCAATTATTTTTCTAACTAAAAAATATTGAGTTTGCCGGTTTTAAAAATCGGCTCAAATCGAGCCGTTTGACAACAATTTTATTATGAGATTATGGTATGGGGTTCGTATAAATCCCATAGTGTTTTTCACGTTATTTTTAATATAACTATAATTAGAGCCTTGTAATCATGTCCAGTCTCCGGGTTGGACGTTGATTTCTAAGTATTTTATTAGTTAGAAAATTATTCCATTTTTCCTTTAAGACTTTTATACACATGTTTTTTTTACATATTTTTTTCCCCGATTTCCTTAAAAAAAAAACTCTTTTATTCCAGTTCAATAATTTTTAACTCGGATTGGATCAGGATAACCATACATCTTGCCGGCTCGCATTGCTAGCGCACAATTCCGATGTAGAGCTCTACTTTCAATTATTTCTCTTCCAATTTAAAAAAAAATAAAAAAAAGTTACACCATGATTCGTCTCATAAAGTTTTCTCGATTTCATAGTTTAGACTTAGGGTCCCAAAAATCTTAAATTTTACAAAATATTTTTAGGCTAGGTTATATAATTTATTAATCTTTGTCTAAGTATCTCTATTCAGGCAGCTATTTAGATTTTTTTTTAAAAAGAAAAATTCAAAGTTTAAGTTGGGTATCTACATTTGTCAGCCCTAATTAGCTCTTATCATTTAGGCTTTTTTTTCTGAACAATAAAAAGGGATACGTTTTTCTCAAACAGAAACTATATTTAGTCGCAGGGGCACTGGACCTGTGTTGTTAAACAGCTCGATTTGAGCCGATTTTTATAAACTGTTAACTCAATATTTTTTCCAGAATAAAAGTTATGCAAGTCTTAAGATTTTGCTCATAGACATCTATTAACTAAATTTCGAATCTTATGCCAAGTTTTTTGGGTAATTTAATAACACTAGCACTGGGCCTAAACTAACAGGGACTTCTTGAACCAAATCTAGAATTCTTTCTTTTAAAACTGGTACCCAACCTAAACACCCCCCCCCCTTCCCAAAAAAAATAAACTTATTTAGGCGAATAGAAACTTGTGGGTTCTAATTTAATACTAGTTCAATTTTATACCAAATGTTAGAATTATAAATTGAGGAATATTAAAAATTTTAAATTATACTAAATCATTAATATTCACTCATATTTTAAATCACAATTTCAATCTCCATTATCTTCTTTGCATCCAGCGAAATGTCATATAAAATAATTCTACAAAAAAAAATCTTAGCAAGCGGTTTCTAATGCATTGCGATACTTCCCTCCTATAACGCATTCTATATTGGGTCCGGAATTTAAAGAAGAACTCATTTCGTATGGTCATATATACATGTATAGATTTAGGCCACACTTGGGAATGAAGTAAAATAAATCTCTTGTTATATCTAAATTTAACATATATAATTTTTTTTAAATGAAAAACTGATCCCCAATCTTAGAAAATCGAATGGAATCTAATCCTGTTCTATTTTCTAAATGATTCATCCGACTTTGTTTTAGTTCAGATTATGGGGTAGTCTAAACCGGTTCCAGTTAATCTACATTATTTTAAACCTTTGCAAAGTATCATTTCTATCCTGTAAAATAAATATCATTTCGAAGGATGTAAAAATCACAGCTGAGCTCAAATCTTTAGAAATCAAATGGAATCTAGTCCAGTTCTATTTTCTAAATGATGCATCCAATTTTGTTCTTTTTCAAATTTTGGGGCAGTCTAAACCAATCCCAGTTGATCTACATTATTTTAAAGCTTTGTAAAGTATCATTTTTTAAGGATGTTAAAAATAAGCCTTTTAAAATGATCTTATTTACATGAAATTACAGTTATGAGATAAAAATTACATATTTTATAGGGCCTATCCAATCAATGAATATCCCGGAAATTTGATCGATTGTAAAGCTATCATGTTGATGATTATGAATAATTTGGACCCGAATATCGCTCAATATCCCCACGAACTCGTGACTTACGGCTCAAACGGTCAAGTTTTTTCGAATTGGGCTCAAGTTTATACAAAACTTTAATTTATTTTATTACATATTTTATTACAGATAATATATTATATTATTACTCAATAATCAGTTTTTACTCACCATGAAATATCTGGCGGAAATGGTGGATAATCAAACTCTAATCATGTATTCCGGGCATCCATTAGGCCTGTTTCCAAATCGACCTATTTATGATTCGTACATGAATGGCTCTGGTGATGCTGGCAGGGAGTTACATCGAAACTCCGAATACCATCCCCGAATGATAATATCGAACGGGATGATGGTGCCTAATTATTCGAACCCTGACACTTACGATAAATTATTCGCCTTGGGTGTAACCATGTATGGACAAATGACAGCTGGAAGCTTTTGCTATATCGGTCCACAAGGTATCATTCACGGGACGGTTATCACTCTTCGTAATGTGGCTAGAAAATATTTTAATACATCGGAATTGGCCGGGAAAGTAAAAACGATATTTTTTTTAAATGGATAATTTAAAAATGAGAACAAATTATTTGCCTAATTTTTAATCGAAATGCGCAATTTTTGTATCAGGTTTTGCATACTTGTAAAATTTAAATTAAATAGTTTAGTTAGTTTTATAGTTAGGGTTCAATCAAATTACTAGCATGAAGCAAATGTTTTATCCTAAATACTTGGGCGGATAGCTTAGATAAGGGTGAAGTAGGGAGATAGGTTGTTAGAAACGGCTCAGAGCGAGCCGTTTACAAATTAGGTTGGAATAAACTCAAATATAGGTCGTAGATTCTATTCGAAAAAAAAACTAAGCTGAATTTTTTCTTAATTCCAAATTCTTATTGAAAAAGAACTAGAGTCTTGCAGGCTCGACCCGGATGCACGGACCGAGCCCGTATTTTAAATTTTTTAACTATACCTGGGCCGGGCCGAATATTTTAAAACCAAATAGTTTAAATCGCCATTTAACTATAAAAATTAAAAATAAATATAATATATTTTCAAAAAATCCGGGCCAGGCCGTGCAAATGGCACCTTTGCAGGTCTCAGGGAAAATCAAATAATTTATATATGAAACTAATTATTTTAAAACTGTGCATTATCTAGATAACATAAATTTAAATATTTTTTTAGATCTAAATTGTCTTTTAAATAGTCCTAAAAGCAAAAAAAAAATAGTTCATTTAGCAAATTAAATTTTTAAAAGTGAAGGAAATAATGTGTAAATTAAGAAGTCGGTAACTATTATTTTTCTCTTCGTAGGTTTTCGTATCATCCGGTTTAGGTGGAATGAGTGGCGCTCAAGCGAAAGCGACAAAAATAGTAGGATGCATTGGAGTTATAGCGGAAGTAAATTTTAAGGATATATATATACACACATTTCAATTTTAAATTTTTCATTCGCCAATTTAGATCTGCTCAAAAACAATTGATAAGAGGCTCCAACAGGGGTGGGTCGACGAAGTGATTGAAGACTTGGGAATATGCATAGAAAGGATAAGGAAAGCTAGGTCTCATAAGGAATGTGTTAGTATAGCGTACCAGGGAAATATAGTGGATTTATGGTATAATTCAAATTTAATTCAAATTAATTCACCCAATTTCTTAGGAAAGCTATTGAATGTGATTACGAAAAGACTAAAGAGAAGTTGGTAGATTTAGGATCCGATCAAACCTCTCTTCATAATCCATATAATGGGGGATACTACCCATGTGGGTATAGCATATCTGAATCAAAGGAAATGATGATGCGCCATCCTGATACGTTTAAGATGGCTGTTAAAGAAAGCTTATGCCTACAAGTTTGCTCTATAAACAGTATTGTTAAGAGAACTGGTATGGTATTTTGGGATTACGGAAACGCTTTCCTCATCGAGGCTTCGAAACTAGGAGCCGATATATATAGTCCTAGCGATAAATCTAAATTTCGTTATCCTTCTTATGTACAAGATATAATGGGAGAAGTCTTTGCCTTAGGATTCGGTCCTTTTCGCTGGATTTGTACTAGTGGCTTGGATTCAGATTTAATCGAAACTGATAGGATCGCTATATTTATATTGGAAAATCTTTTAAACATATACTCCTTAGAAGAGAATCACGTGTCTGCATTCAATGACTTGTCCACAAAGTTATTGACGAGGGCAAAAATTTTACAACTATATGAGGATAACTTAAATTGGATCAAGCATGCGGCCTCTCATCCTTGTTCTTATTTGACCGTCGGAACTAAAGCAAGAATATTATACTCCGATAGTAGAGGTCGGACTGATTTGGCCTGTGCATTTAACGATGCCGTCAAATCGGGTATCCTTAAAGGTCCAGTGGTAGTCAGTAGGGATCATCATGATGTATCAGGAGCCGATAGTCCATTTAGAGAAACATCTGATATTTATGATGGCTCATCTTTTTGCAGTGACATGTCGGTTCAAAATGCTTTGGGGAACGTCTCAAGAGGGGCCACCTGGGTAGCTATACACAACGGAGGAGGAGTAGGTTGGGGAAGGTCTATTAACAATGGATTCGGTTTAGTATTGGATGGCAGTGATGGGGCCAGGCAGAGAGCGGTCTCTTTGTTAAGTTGGGACGTTCTACATGGAATGGCGAGACGATGCTGGGCTAAATCAAGTCTGAAGGAATGTTTCTGCGGTAAGGGTCTTACTCAAGAAGAAAATAAGAATATTCTTTGTCATGAAACAAAATATTTATTAGATAATATGATGCAGCAGGACCCGCTTTTAAAAATAACATTGCCTTACCAAAATAATTATATTCTATGACCACTTTCTGATCATTTCAAATATTTGATTATTAACATTATTAACATTATTATAGTGGGTAGATAAATTTTCGGTAGTGATATACCTAATATTTATACAGTTAATGTGCTAGCAAATCAAATGTTATATTACATGTACACAACATTTATTTATTAATAAATACCTGATTTCGTCACTCAAATAAATATAGATATTACTGTTATAATAATACATTTATATACATTGGTAAATAATATAAATTAGCTAATTATACAATGTATAAATTAAGATAACACTAAATATATTTTTGCCCATATTTATATCTTATTGGTTATGGCGCAATTTTCATATTTTGTATTTTGACGGGTAACGTATTTATCGAATTGTAATTTCCAATCCACAATGTATTTGGTTTTCCAATCATTAAACTGCGATTTCCATTGAATTTCGGTGTCGCTCAGGTCCTCTGCACGTTGTGTTATGAGTTTAAAAGAAAAAATAATGTTATAAGATGAGATAAAATATGGTGATCACTATTAATAGTATATTTTTCCTAATGAGGTAGCCAGATACTAAATGAGTGAGGTGAAGAGGGGGGGGGGGGGGGTAGGAACAGATTGCTTCCATTTTTTGAGTAAGGGTAGGGGATAGACATTTAATGGGTAAAAATTAGATTGCAAATCTTATATTGCTGATAGGATTCAGCAGATGAAACTTTCATGCTAGGGGTAGGATAAATTTATTCCGGGGGTTATCAAATTTTTAGTTGAATTAGGACAAAATGAGTCGGTGTAAAAATTAATACTTTTATAGACCTATTATTAAAATGATGTTGCTAAACATCGACCAAACCTATATATTACATATAAATCATAGACATTATTTTCAAAATAAAACTTTCTACTAAATTTAAAAGGGTTAGACATTCTCAGCAAACTCATTCATCCATATAATACATTTAATAATGCATTCATTGTAAATGAGGTAATTTTTTTAAATTGAATTCATGTTTTAAAAAATTACTCTTTTACATTTTCATTATAATTTTAAAAAGTATAGTTAATAATGTGAAAATATCGCCGCGGAAGGATAAGAAATTTTTTTAGGGTAGTAGATATAGGTTATAGAGGGAGGGTTTGCATCCAGGGAAAATCCTGTCATGTAGACACTGGACGTAGCTAGTATCTGAGAAAAATTATTTTGATACAACACCCCTAAATTTATCTCCATCTCCCACTATCGACTCATAACCCCTCCCAAAGAGCCACATCTTATCTCCTTTAAATTATATTATATGGAGGCATCCCCGTTTAACTAGACAGGGGGGCTATCTATAAAGAAAAAAATTATTTTGCATTTGAATAAAAAGTTTTTTTTAATACGGCTGAATGCTGAGAGCTTAGCAACTCCATTATAATAATAAAGCATTATTAAAACATCCTCTGTTATTATATAGATGAAATATTTCATTTAAGTAATAAACCTGTTGCCGTCATAAGATCCGGAATAAATTCTTGCCAAAAGGCGCATTGTTTAGTTCTAGGACCCTTGCCTATATCATGGGAATCGACTGATAGTCTTAAGAATTCTCTGTTTTGTGTAGTGTGAAGAGGCCATTGAATTTCGGACCATTTCCCATCTTCATTAATATTTGGATTACTAGATTATAATTTTTAAAAAGAAAAATGCTATATTTACTTGTTAAATTTTTTTTTTAAATAAGAGATTGGAGTAATTTGTAAATACATTTCGAAAATAACCAGTTACGATATCATTTTTAAAAGATATACTAAGTTACATAACAATGAATGTAACTAATTAAAAAAAATTATGTATCTTATTTTTAAAAATCCCATTAGATAATTAAAATAAAGGTCTAGGGCCAGACTGAGCCTTTTCAGAATGTCTTGGTGCGCCTACGGGCCCATTCAAGGCCTCTCATTAATATAGCTGCCTTTCCACTACTGCCAGAATTTTCGTAAGAAAGAGTGAGGAATTTTTTTTAGGCGATTTTTTTTATCAACATAATTTTAAGGGATATATTAAGGTTCCCTCTTTGAAGAACTAGAATTTTGGCTGGATTACATTTTTTGGTGTTTTTTGAAAAAAAAAAGCAAATCATTATTTTATATATATTTTTTAATATGGTTAATAATGGCACATTTATAGTTGGGTAATTACTGTATTTTTAACTGTTTGAGCCTATTTTAGCGGGCTAAAATAGGATAATCAGAGTTTCTAATAAAAAATAATCAGTTTGGCCTCGGGGTTTTTCTTACAAATATATCAGCTCAAGTAACTAATAAAAATTAAAACGCCTTAATGTTAAAGAACTTTCTCCGGCACGCGCCACTAGATTTAGCCAAATTAGCCTGCTAACTATAGACACATTGTATTCAATTTTGAGGTAGAAGGGAAGGGGGATAGTTGGGGAAAATTAGTTTAAAATGATATTTACGAAAGTTGACAAATTTGCGAAAGTATGTTATTAAAATAACTAAATTATATCATAAAAATGTATACTACTACAAATTAATTTTTTATAAACTTTTTCATTAAATTGAGATTCATTAAATTTGTATAAATCTTTCTATTTTATACCCAGTTTTCGCGAAATTGGTCCAAAATTTCATCATATTACGACTGAGTTCGATTTCCTCTGGCTTGTAACCTTTGCCAGGAACCAAGGGTTCCCCAAAAATGTAATTAATCTCATCGGCATGCATGACTCCCATCCAGGTTGGCCACGGGTTTTGAGAAGATCGGTGCGAAAAGTAATATTTGAAAACGTTTATCCCAGTTTTGGCGTAGGCGTACGCCATTTGGTTGACACCGCACGTGAAATAAAAATCCCCGACGCTTTTATCGAAAGCGTCAAGTACATTCAGATTATTGTTCGCGTCTTCCCAATTCGTGTACTCGTACAGAATAGCCTTGTGGCCTATTTGGTTGAATTGAGGGAACAAGTCCGTGAGCGATTTGGCGAATTGAGATTTTTCCAAGATGACTTTCTTATCCAGAGGTAAAAATAAGTTCGGTAACTGATAAATATTGAAGTAAGTGCCTTCTTCGCCATTCGTGCCGATCAGTACGCTAGTTTTTTTGAATTTTTTCTTTTGTAACAACGCCTGAGGGCTCTCCTCGAACCAAACACCGTCCACGACGGGCACGAACGGAAATTTCATATACTCCGTTGTGACCCAATCGTGCGTGACAATGTCCCAGGGATCTGCCGATCTCAGACACTCGATGGTAGCTTGAAGGGTGTCTGTCTTAAAAGGGCAATCAAGTCCTTCGGCTAATCTTAGACCTGCATAATAATTTTTTTTAAAAAACTATATTTTATTTTTTATCTTCAACTTTGTAATGATCCCTTTTTGTTCATAAATTGCTAGAAATTAAAACATTAATGACACCATTTCCTGGTTAAATACAATTAGAGTTTAGCACGATCTGTTAAGAGTTTTATGTCGGTTTTCCGGCCCAGTCCATTAAGTTATTTTGTACGACCTGTCAAGTAAAAAAAATTTTAAATTAGGTACCCGAGTTTAAAAAAAAAACTTTCATATAAGAAAAAATTCTTAAATAAATTTTTTTTTTGATAAGGCATCAGCTAAAAAAAAAATGAAATTGATATATTTTAATCCTTACTTAATTAATTTTCTCTTTTTGTGGGAAGATCATGTCCCTTAAAATATTTGACTTTTACACAAATTCCTCCGCCCAAATTTTTTTTTACCCACCCTGGCTGGCCAGACCTGCGTATTATTAGCATTAATAAAATATATATGAGCAAAGATATACATCATTGAATCTTTTTAGAAATAAAACCTCTTTTAACGGCCTCTTGTGGTGTCACTGTAGCCCAATAGTTTGTAGATGTCCCGCTTTCTAGTATAGCTCTCTCGAAGTATCTCCAACTTCCGGGTGAAATCATGTGCATATCTACGCTCGAGGCCCCGGCGCTTTCGCCGAATAGGGTTATCCTATGAGGATCTCCCCCAAACTCAGCTATATTATCGTGAATCCATTGCATGGCCAATCTCTGGTCGAAAAGCCCGGCGTTTCCTGCAACTTCTGGACGTCCAAGGTATAGATATCCCAAGGAACCAACCCTATAATTAAAGTTGGCCACAATTACATCATTGGAAGATGCCAAAATTCTACCATCATATACGTCTAAGGACGAGGTCCCGCTGTAAAATCCGCCCCCAAATATCCATACCATCACTGCCATTGGTTTACTGGGCCTGGATAGAGCATCGCTGCCATAAGGTACCCATAAGTTGAGGTAGAGACAATCTTCGCTCAAGGGGGTGTTTGGGTTCCACATTTGTGAGCCGCTGAAGTTACCGAATAGTGTGTCGAATATTTGATAGCACGAATTGGGATATTTTGTGGCATTCAGGGTGCCAACCCAGGGTGATATGGGTAAGGGATGTCTAAATCTTAGATCTCCCAGGGGAGGTGTAGCGTAAGGCACGCCTAAGTATGCTATAACTGGATTGAGCGTTGAGGTCAGTTGTTTAACACCTTGCACTTTGCCTTTCGTTGTTTTAACTATGTAATCATCTTCTATGACGGAATTTACGATTAAAGAAAAGGGGTCCTTGATTAAAAATATCAAGGTCAAAAGTACTAAGTACCGTATGGCGAACGAAGCATGATTGTAGGCGATATGATATGTACGCGTTAATTTTGGTTTGTAGACAAATTTGGAAATAATATACAATAAGGGAAATAATAGGTTGTATGACATCTCTTTTAAACGCTTATTAAGATTTTTTTGTTGTTAATATTATTTCATACATTAAATAATATAGACCTTTTAATTAGAAGTAATTTGATTTGGATCATATAATGTCCATAGACCCGGAATATAATTATTATTTTTTTAAAAAATAATCAATGAGTAATGATTAGGAAATAATTTAATACGAATCTCCATTAAGAAATATAACCTGATTTTGTTTTTAATTTTATTTATTTTTTTGCAAAAAAAAAATGATAATTTAATAATTTTCCATTTCATAAAAAGAAATATATTTTTCAAATGGAAAAAAAAAAAATTAAAAATTATATTTAAATTTATCTTTCAAATATTTTTCGCTTCAAAATTTATTTTAACCTATCTCAACAAATTCAATACATTCTTACATGATACCTTTTACTATATTTTTTTTTAAATAATTTAACTTTCTTAATTAACAAAAAAAATTCTTATATTATAAATCAATATAATATATTGTCAAATTAAATCTCTTTTAACCTTTAAGCATAGGTAAATATTATAAATATTGTAAATTTTTTTATTTATAAATGGAGAACTTTATAAATGAACTAGACATTACTCAACAAAATTTTCAGAAAATATTATTAAGGTGAAGCTAGCCACATTATTTTATCATACCAAAAAAATGTATGTGCTGAAATTTTGTCACCTTTCTATCACACGAAAAAGGGATATGATTTATTGTTTGTTTTTTTTTGCTATCTATAGTGATATATGGGTTTAATTAGTCATATTATATTCATAAAAGATAAAGCGAATTTATTCTTATTTTTTTTAAAGAAAATTGGCCTATCAAAAATTGTTTCGTCTAATTTTTTGAATAATCTATCTTCATTATAATTCCTCGTTCTACTTACTTTCACCTCTCTTTCAATTTTTAAAGGGTAAAAGTTGAAAGTTTTATCTCTTAAAGCGTTAAAGAAGTAAACTAATACAAGTCTTAATATACTTCGAACTGATTTTTCGTTAAAAGTGTTGCAAATGTTGAATTAAAGAGAAAAATAAAAATGTTTATTTATTATTTTTTTTTAAATAAACTTTAAAAAAAAAATTTTTGTTGAGTTAAATCGTCGTGAAAAGGTTTATTTTCCTTACTATTAATAGAATTATAAAATTAATCGGATTATCTTATCAATTTCAATTCCGCCTTAACTTTCAGTTTCGCGTGTAACTATCCCCCCGATATATTATTTTACTGTAAATAAAATCAAGGCTAGAATAATCCTTTATAATTAGCAACCGGGGCATATCCGGACCATGACTATTCTAACTTTTTTGGGGAGGCCCGGATCGTAACAGAGCCATAACCGCTATAAATTCAAAGTAAACGAAACTTCACCAAACCGTAACTATAAATAACAAGCTAACTATTAATAGACTCTATTAAAATTTTTAAGGCGTTTTTATTTTAGAATTTTTTTTTTCTTTTTATCCTAGTTATTTATAATTAAAAGGGCCGGGCCGTATATTTTATAACCAAATTTTTGAAATCGCCATTATTAGCTAAAAAAAAAAAAAAAATACAAAATAATATAATATATTTTGAAAAAATCCGAGCCGGGCCTGGAAATTTTGTCTATAAAAAAAGCCGGGCCGGACCGTGCAAATTGTACCTCTGCAGGTCTCTGATAGTTACAATTCTATATAATATCAGTTAACAAAAATTCTTTCAAAATTAAAATCTTAATTTACGTTATGTTTTTAAATTAAGATGGCTCGTAAAAAAAAAATTTTTTGATATTATTTTATAATTAAATTTTTTTTTCTTTTTTTTCTTCCCAAGGATAAAATTTACGCAAGTTTTTTTTTTATTTAAATAAAAAAAAAAGAAATTTTTTAAAAAAAAAAATTATTTTTTTGAGGAAAAACTCATTCCAGTTTTTAAAATCAATAAATATTATGTGGAATTTCTAATAGTAATTTTATTATATATAATTTCAAAGAATATTTTTTTTAAAAAAAAAGGTTGCTTCAGTTTAGACTTTGCCCATCTCTATTGTGGCTAAGTCAAGCATTTAACTTAAAATATTGAATTAAGCTTTGAGTCTCAACTTGAAGATTGATTTTGAATATTTTTGGTTAAATACATAGCTACGTTGTTTTTACAGTTGACTAAAGTATAGTAGTTTAACCACACTACTTCACTTTTGTATTTCGTAAAAATATTAAGGTTCATCTATTTTGTATATTAGTATATATAACCTGATAGTGTTTGTTAAAAAGGCCGATTGAGGTCGATTTTAAATTACCAAATTAAACATTATGTAAGCAAAAAAAAAAGATTTTATACATAGCCGCAGAAATGCTTGGACATCTATTTGCCAAATCACGATGCTTACAGAATATTATTTTAGCTAAAAATCCTGATCGAACCGTTTTAAAAAATCAACCCAATGTAGGGCTTTTTAACAACACTGATACCTGGGTCACATTTAATTTTTATAAAAATATCATTCATTGTGGCGGATACTAAAAAAAAAAAATTAACCATGTTGAGAACTCTTTGCCTGATTCGAGATTCATAAAGCAATTCAGATATATATTTTTAAAAAACAGAAATAGATTCTAGGTGTTCCATTGAGATTTGAAAAAATTGTAATATATTTATAGTGTATTTGAACTGATTAATATCTTAAGGGTAGTATTGTTAAACAACTCTATTTTTAAAAAAAACGGCTAACGCAAGGTTTTAGTCAAAAAAATTATTACGCAAATCTGGATATTTTGCTCACGGACGGCAGAAAGGTTTTAATATCTATTAACGAAATCTCATAAAATCTGAAATTCGCTAAATCGAGCAGTTTAACAACATTAATTCTTAGGTAATCCATGTAAATTGCCAGAATTTAATTGAAAAATTAAAGAGATTGCTAAAAAAAAAAAATTAAGATAAACAATCTAATAATATATATTATATATAGATTAACATTTATACTAAATATGAACTTTAATATGGCGAGTTTTTTAAATGTTAGAGACAGAGAAAATAATTTAATTTATATAGGAGATAATCTATCTAAAAAAAATTGCATTCACTTTTCACTCTATTTTAAAAAGATTAAAATAGTTATAATTGTAGGGTAAAAAAATAAATACAAGACAGAAACTGTGTTAACAAGGTTTTTCTAGATAAGTTTATATTTTATGTTTGATTTGTATATGAGAATAAACCTAACGCGTGCAAATTCATATTGCGAAACTCTGGGATTATTACTTTCCAAGAAGGGGGTATTTCCGTAACATATCGCAAGCGGATATAATATACTAAAGAATAGAGAATAAAAAGAATTCTAGGAACTTTGAAATATATACGGGAAATCTAAAAAAATCTAAAAATATAAAGATAAAATCAGTATTATGATGCTAAATATTGTAGTTATTAACAATTCGTTTTTTTTTAAATAAAAATGCATTTTGAATTTGTCAAGGTTAATAAATAAAAATAACCGTAAAAATAAAAGACAATCATTCTTCTTATTTCTTTAACATTGCCTGAAATTATATTTATATATACCAACCATAAAATTGGCAATTTGTCAACTTTCAAGTAATACTTTGATATTACAAGTCCTTTATTTTTTCCTATAAATTAATATTCTAAAACAATTCCTTTGTGATGTGGCAAGACAAATTAGATAATATTTTTGAAATCTAATAAAATTATTATTATATTTTCTTATTTGACGATTTATTTTCTAATATTTAAAAGCGGCATGTATTTTACAATATCGTAACTTTAATTTTTACTCTAAAAATGTAGTTTTATACTTAATTTTTTTTTATACAAAAATATATCGGGAAAAAGAAAAATATTAAAATTTAATGAAAGGGAGTTTTAAAAAAAAAAATTGTATATTACTATTATTTATATATTTTTTTAAAATTCAAAACTAATTTTCCTTAAGAAGTGTTTATAGTCCCTTCTTTGTACATCTTTTTGATTGCTCAATATTAGTTCATGTTTTTGAAGTCCTTCGATATAAATATGCTTCTTCCTCATAATATGAAAGAATGAATATGATCAAAAATGAGTGTCAGATCTCTTGTTGCCGTAAACCTCCCGATTTTGCCAAAATATACCGTATATTGATTTTACGCTTTTTCCATATGTTTTTATAAAAACTTACACTGTCATTTTTTATTTTAATTCATTTAAACATTTAAAAGGGTATCTTATTTATGGTTATTTTATTCTTTTCCTTTTTTGGAAAAGTTTTTTTTTAGTCTGATCCCAAATTCGGGTTCAGAAGGCATTTTGAAACCTCAGAAATGAAAGGAGATCTATTTATAGACAACCAATCGAACCCGGGGTATGTTCGGGCCCCTTAAAAAAAATTAAGTATCTGTTATCAAAATTTCTAAATAGAGTTTAAAGTTCCTGGACCCTAAGTTCGGGTTCGTAACTTTGGTTTCCATCATTCCATTAACTCTTCTCAATTTGGACACGCGGCTTCCATTCTTACGTATTTATTCCATAAAAAGTACCTTAAACACAATAATTACGATATATTTTAAAGTATTAGGATTGTTAACCAATATATTATTTTTGCTCTTTCTCAATGCCTTTATCTATATTCTTATTTTTATTTATTTTATTATTTCTGTATTCATTTTTATTCTTGTATAATTTTACATTTGTTTTCGGTTTTTAAAAAAATTTTTTTACTCTCTCAACTATACCTATATAAGAATCAAATAAAATCGGTTTAGATTTCAAAGATTTTCAAAATAATAATTTGATATTGGTTAGGTGAGAAAAAATTGTAGCCTTCCAAAAAGAAACATTAAATATGTCAAAATAAGAATGACAGTTTTATTTTTTTAAATGTTCTGTTAGGTTTTAGGTCATGCCCTGGTTCGACTTAATGCTAAGCAGCTGGCTGTTTAGCCGGCTATCTTTAACTAAACAGCCTAAAACGTAGAAGATATTTTTTTTTAAAATAAAGAAAAAAAACAAAATAATAATGATAATGATAAAAACACACAAATAAGAAAAATAACAACGCCCCCAAACACTCAAAACAAACCAAA